GGAGGCTGGTGCCACGCCAGGGATGGGACGAACAGCAAAAAGACCCGGTCCTTGTGGGACAGGCAGGCAAGGGGGAGCGGCCACTCTGCGGGTCCGCTACGTCTTACAAACCAACGTTGCCTCAGCAGTCCTGAGACCGCCCCGTGCCCGCACCGCCCTGTCCGGCTGCCCCGCCCCGATGTCTGTCGGTCGCTGCAAGGCATCTGCCTGCCTGCTGATCGCGCTACCCTTCCCATTGTGGCTATATCGGTGCCATTCTTCTCGCCGCCGTCGCTTTTGACCAGCCTGGCTGAGACACATCACCCGCCGGCACACCGGCAAGACCAGCTCGTCGGGATCACGATCGGCCTTTTGACAGCCAGACCTTGTATGGTCGTGAGCAAGGTTGTGCCGTGCTCGTTATCTCTCCTAGAGTCTCCCTTTTGACACCAGTCTCCCGATGCGTTGCGTGTTTGTCAGCCACGAGTGTGCTCACTCGCCATCAGACGATCCCAATGGACGTCTCGCTTGCTTCCAAGGGTGTTCCAAAGACCTTGTTCGTCGGCCCCTTTGTTTCTCAGACTTGACCGTATCTATAGCATCTTGGAGTTCTTGGTATCCCGCATCCAAAGCTTGTTGTCACGCTATCTCAGCTCGTCGGATTCGCCAAAGGAGCCACTTCGGCGTCTGATGCTTCACGGAATTGCATGTGCGCAACCCATAGAAGAAAAATGTTGACTAGATCTAACACCCAAAGAGGAAAGGAACTAGAACATCAGATACTTCGCTGTCGTCGGGCTGAGACGGACCACACACCCGATGTGCGTCGCTAAACGCCCTCGACTCTGGGCAGCGTCTCTTGGGATCAGGATAGGATGATCTCGACGGTAAACCAGTCGCAAACGCCGTTCACATAGAGAGCCATGGATCGCTAGAGCTCGTACCCCATACCGGGATCGACAGGCAACACACCAAAAAAAAACCCCGGCCGGACAGCGCGGCTCGGAACCCAGGGGTCCGGGTACCAGACAAGACTGGAGGGAAAATGCCTGCCATCGATATGCGGACGCGAACCCGCACTCCCGTATCTAGGTAGCCATGCTAGCGTACTCACAGATGCTCTCCTCCGGCTCACTGCTACAGTTGTTCTGGCTATCAAATCCCCTGACCACGATCTGCCTGTGTAGCCGGGATCTGCCGATATCCCACGCCGACCCGGTGCTCATCACTCTCAGCAGAACAAAACAAGGAAATCAAGGTGAAGGCGCACCAACATTACTTGGTAGCCACGAGCTAAGTATGCACCTCGCCACTAGCTGGAAGTTAAGAATGAGCCGTTGGACTTTTCCCAATATGTAACCTCATGTCGAGCTTTCGGCCATGACTCTCATCATACTTTGCTCAAAGCAGAGAAAAGGCATCGCACAAGCAAGAAAGCCTCGGCTGGCTTCGGTCATGAGAACGTCATCTGCAAGATAGGCGTGATTTACACTCTCGCGCGCACTGCTCCTACCACATCCACCAACAGACAACTCGCCTCGGTTCCGGCCAGAGGAGACGGTGCCCGACCTCAGCGAACAAAACGACCAAGTCATGAGGCCAAGGCTATGGCGAGCGATATGACGCCGCCCCCCGACTCTTCCTTGCCCCTGCGACTACAGACAAGAAAGAACTCTCTGCTTCCGCGGGGCTGCAAGAGGCATGACAAGCAGCCTTTGCCGGTCGGTCGGCAACATCGAGGCCTTGACAAGCTCCTTCCCCCAACGCCGGCCGCCTAGTCTCCCTTCCGATACGAGGCGCCCGCCGTCCTCTCTTGCCAGGGCCATGCGTCCCCGTCTCCTAAGCATATCCCCCCGCGTGTCCCGAATCACTGTCCCGCAACAGGCAATCAAGCCGCAGTAGGGAGAGCTAGGCACTAAATCATAACCGCTTCTTCTCGATGCGCGATACGGTGGCCAGTCAGACAGGAGCGCGCAGATGCGTACCAACATGTACTTACTTTGCCCAGGGCTCATAACCTCCCCGCGACTGCCAGCCGAGTGACATGTGTTTCCATCTACCCTGCAACCTGACTCCTTCGAATGGCACAAGACATGGCTTCGGGTCACAGATCAATTGGCGTGAATACGTAGCTCTTTTCCCTTTTTTTTTGCCAGGCAGGTACCTGGCGAGGCGAGCCCACTTGTCTCTACATTTTTACTACCTCGGTCTTAGCCTACCCTTTATGCTACGATGACAAACGACGCCTCACAGGCTGGCTTTGCCGGATAGTCATTTGAAGTTGTTCTTCATCTCGCGCAGCTTGACCATTATCTTGACCGGGTCCGTCTCCCCCGTCGCCTTCTGGATCGCGGGGTCCTCGGGCCGCATGAAGACGTTGTGGTTCTGCCCGTTGCGTGATTATGGCGCGGCGTTGGGGGTGTCGTTAGATAATAATAATAATAAAAATAAAAAAAGTCTAGGGCCGTCTTGTTTCTCGGAGACGCCTGCTCCTGTCAACACATACCTTCTCGTCGGCAATGGTGAATTTGCCCTGCGTCTCCTGGTTCTTCTCGGCAAAGTCCTGGAGCTGCTTGACCGGGTCGCTCGGGAGGACAGAGACGGCGAACCTGACGTTTGACTTTGTGTACTCGTGACCGGGCTGGCAAACCGGTGTCAGCAGCGGGCTATGCTCTATCATAAAAAGAGTACAAGGTAGTTGTTTTTTTTGTGACACCAAAATGCGAGCAGATACTTACAAACACGCGGGTGTCGTCAGGGAGCGCGCCCAGTTTCAAGTTCAGGGCCTTGTGCATCTCCTCGCCGGTGCCCTCGAAGAACTTGCCACAGCCTGTACATAACCACGCATGAGCGAAAGGGAGAGGGGGGGGGGGGGGGGGGGCAGGGAGTTGGGAGTTGGGAGATGGATTTTGGGTGGCTGTGTGCTTGCTACATGCCGCCGTGGAAGAGCGTGTCGCCCGTAAAGACGACCTTGTCGTCGCCGTCCTGCATGAACCAGCAGATGCTGTCCTGGGTGTGGCACGGCGTGTGCAGGCCCTTGACCTGGATGCTGCCGAACGGGAAGCCCTCGCCGTCGGCGGGCGTCGTCGTCACGGCCTCGCAGCTCTTGCCGCCGATGATGGGCAGGTCGTCGATTCCAAGGGCGGCCCGCTGAGAAAGCAAAAAAAAAAACCGATTAGGGTTGGGGCTAGGGTTAGACACAATGCCGGGTTTAATGCCATCGATATCTCATCACTTCCAGACCCATCTTGAATATAGGGGAGGGGGCGACCGTGCGTACCAGCTGCTTATTGCCTCCCGCATGGTCGTAGTGGCTGGTGGTCCACCCCCATCGTCAGCATCGAGAGAGACACGCAGCCGCATCGGAGCGCGCAAGGCCGACGCGAAGCAGGCGGGGAAGACTCACTGGTGGGTGTTGACTATGGCCTTGAGCTTGATGTTGCCGGCGTCCATCTCCTGCTTCAGAACGGGCGCGACCCTTTTGGGCAGCAGGGCGCGGCGATCAGCAACTCGCACAGCTACTCGCTACTACCAGTCAGTCCTCTCCCATTTGGGGAAAAAGAAACACACTCCTCGACATGGGCCGGGTCGATGATGACGGCGTCCTTGGACTTGTCGTCGACGACCAGGTAGGCGTAGTTGTCACTAGCCCCCACCCCTAGATTTTTGAGACTTGCAGTCAGAAACGAGGCAAATGTGTCGCACGTCGCGAGAGGA